TGAATAGACTTGCAAATGGGTGAGTATTTCAAGGATGGGAAGCATGAAACAAGCCCATCTTACTACAAAGAAATGTGCTCTGAAGAAACTAGGACTTCATTTTCTCCTGAAACAGTCATACTGTCAGACTTGACTTCATAGCTTTGTGAGTCCTTTTTTGCAAAGTAGGATTTCAGTGACTAAATCAAGTAAATCCTAGGGCTTTTATCATGAAAAAGAAGAGCCTTTTCAATCTGACTTCAAAAGTTTAAAGGTGGTGGTGGTACAAGGGGCTATTATGAAAAAATGAAGCTTAATTCTACTTGCTTATTTTCTTCCTCAGATGTTTGTCCAAATCATTAGTTCCTTCTGCTTCGTCATCTTTAGAATCAACAGTTCCATCCCTGTCTGAACCAGAAGTGGGAAGTGACAAAAAGACCAATGAGCAGCCAGAACCAGCAAGCATGCATGAAGCTCCACAGGTGTTGAGAAGGGTCCCTGGGAAAATACCCAAATGGCTGAAGCTGCCAGGTATCATGAAATCGGAGGAGAGCTCTTCTCATTCTGAACTCCCCAGAAAGGCAGGCTCCTCCTTGCCAAATGTGTTGGATGTTGACAATACTCTTGAAGATGTCAACATAAGGCTTGCAGGACATTTGGTTGGTTCAATGCTTGTCAATCACAAATCAGTTTGTGTCTTAAACCTCAGCCTTCACTGGAGATGTATCTGAATGCAGGCTCTGGGCAGTGTTGAGTCTGATGTCTAATCCATATGCTTGCAGCACTCAACTGTGTTCTGGGCTTAATGTGTTGAGTTCTTAACTGTGCTAGTGTAGTTCAAATACTAATAGGCATGATACTCTACATACCAAGGGCCCATGTCATCTGTTAAACCTCTGTTGTTTTTCCTTTACTGGTACAGTCTGTTTTAGTACTTTCCTTTCTCTTGATTTTTTTGAGTTGGTCTTTCTGTTTTTAATCTTCACTGCAAAACAGTAGTGATTTTCCATAGTTAAGATTGCAACCAAGTTTCCATTATGAATTTTTTCTTGGTTTATCCGGATCAGAAAACTGCAACCTTGTTTTCAGTCTCAGAACCAATAGCTTATGTGTGGTTTTATATGAGAATTTATACAAAATATGAAGTAACTAGAAGGATTCCTGAATTAAATAATTGGCAATGTTCATTTTTTGATGCAGTGGCAAAGAGAAGGGGCGAGGGGGGGGAAGACGTTCAATCAACCCCCTTAATGGCAATAAAACTAGGAAGAATTATATGGAATTTCCTGGCTAATAATGCCAAATGTTAACTTCCTGAATGAGAATTTTAGTATTTGATTCTGGAAGGTACTGTGAGGCCATCAGCTCCAGCAAGCATAGCATAAGGTGTGAAATGATTGCTGGAAGGCTGCAAACAGTGGGTTGGTGTGTTTCCCTGCTGTGGCTGGCCTATTTTAGACTGGTACTGGGATACTGATGCAGATCATGTGGGGAACAGTATCTTTACTGTTTCCTGTTTCCCATATGCTTGAAGCATTCCACTTAAGAGTAGAACTTTCTTTCCCAAGTAAAGATTATCTGGATAAAGTATGAAATAACATCTCACCTACCTGTGCAGGTTACCCATTAACAGCTGGTATGAAAGGTTAATAACGTGCGCTAACATGCATGTTAATAATATGTAGGATGAAGTTTCCTGCTCCGAAAGTTATGATGTATTCACCATTCCATCTCCCTAAGACGCGCTCCTACATGCTACCCAACTGTTGCCTGAGCACAGCAGGGTATAGAACCCTCAGCAAGCAGATCATGTTATTGAGAAACGATACAGTGCAAATTACGTGGTTAAGTATTTTAATGCTCTTATGTTTATTTTGTAGGTGGGAAGAGATGAAACATTCTGGGCTGCTGGCTCAGTGAGCAGTCAGCTGTGCCTCTTTCCTGATGAACTTACTCAGAATGCGTAAGAAGTTGTTGGTGGCCCTGGAGAGATCTAATCTGTATGAACATTAGTTATAAATAGAAAATTGCTATTTCAGATGCCAGTTTCACCTTTTGGAGGAGTGGAAGGCCTGTTTATGGTCTTTGTGACTACAGAAGCAAGGTTAGAGGTTAAATTTAAGGTTTCTTGCATGCAAATAACATGAATAGAGAATTAAGGGGGAAATAATTCCTGTGTACTTTCTGTGAAGGACTTTGTTTCTATCCATATTTTTAAATTCGAATCTTCCCAGTTCTACCTTCAGAGATAACTTGAGTCTAGCTGCCTGAATTCTAGCAGCAAGATACAATCCGATTCAGTTTTACCTATAGTTAAGTGCTGCCTAGAACAAGACTTCTCTCTGCTTCTTGCTGGCCGGGGTTAGTGCTGCTGATAATTCTGGGCATAGATGGCTGGAAGGTGGGTGAAGAGGAACCACTTAGGTCACTTAAAACAGTTCAAATAGGCTTTTCCTGTGAACCTCTTGTTCTGCTGCACTTGTATTGTTTTCAGTTGCCAGAATCTTGTTAACAAAGAACACAGGTATCTGTTAATGGAATGCATGTGGAGTTTGTTTCTGCCCCAAGCTTTGTGTTTTATTTTCACTACATATAATTAACATCAGTAATTACAGTGGAGAAAAAAAAATCCAGTAAAAGGGTCTTATCACATGACCTTCGATCTATGGACTTCTATGGTCCGAATGTTTCCACAGCAGAGTAGCTGTTCTCTGCAGTGCAGTTAGCGTACAGGGGGAAGCACTAGTTCAGATCTTTGCCTCCTGCAGATGTTGTACTGGGATGAATATTGTTGGTTAGAATTGTGCTCATACTGGAGATGAACTCTATAGTGCCACAGTAGCCGTGGCGCTGTATTTTATTTGAAGTCTTCTCCATGGATCAGTGATTCATATTGGACAGCTGGGGTTCCGTGTTACAATAATAACATGTTTTCCATTTTCCCTGTATAGACAATTGTTCCCTGAACTACGTGTGCATCTGCACAATTTGTAGATGTAATAAAGCAGAGTGGCCATAGGAGGCCTTTTTGTCGGTCTCTTTGATAATACGTTTCTTCCCCCAGTACTCAGTTTCTCTGTCAGTTCACAGGAACCTGCTCCCTTTTCAATGGGCCTGTCATGCCTCATTCCCTTCCTCCCATTTTTTTTCAACAAAGCAAAACAGAGCTTTGTACCATCTGAATGAACTTCAAAGTGGCTAGAAAGGGCACCCAGGGTTCCTGGCACTTGTCATTGTCTCCCAGCCTGGCCAACATTTCCCTTCAGGTCTAATTACTTCCAAATGCTCCCAAATGCTTTGAAGAAACTCAGAGGGAGGGGGAGGCATGAAAGAAAGGTGGAAGAGGGAAAACGAGACTCAAAGTAGAGGGAGCAGAATGCTTTAGCAAAAATCTTGATTGATTTCTTATATGACACCCAAACATAAACAGGGAATGTGTGTGGCCGCTGGCAGTGGGATATGCAAGAGCACTATGTACAGCTGCTGCTTTAAATCCTTACTGTGGAAAGCGAGCCCTTCTTGCACTTGCCAGGCTGTAAAAGGCATACTATAGCAAAACAAAAAATATTAAACTAATGTTTAAAGTTTATTACTTTAGTGTATTAAGTGTGGGCAGAGCCTACACTCCATAGGGCTATCTGTATCTTGATTCAGGTGCTATGTCAGGCTTATTCATTTCACAGAAGTCAGAGCTAGACTGTGGCTAGAGCTGCTTTGCTGAATTTATGTAGGATGTATCAGGGGCCATCTAATAGCCACAGCTAATGGTAGGTGATGATATACTTGTGCTGGTGTTTTTGATTCACAGGGTTAGAATAAACAGAGGCAGTCTGGTTGGTAGCAAGTTGTAGTGTGCTTTCAGATGTGCTGGTCTTGTTTTTTGAAGAGCATGGGCAACATCAAATACTACTGATTCGCTTAGCTATTTTGATTCCACCAGTTTTGACAAAGAGCTAGCACCGTAACTATCACCTGCAAGTACCTGATACGGGAAAACAGAAGGAAAAGTTTAGGGACACAAGCACCAATATCATCATTACTGGGGCAGTTTCATGGGTTAAGTACGGGGGTGAGGATTAGGAGACTTCATATTGCTAACAATGTGCATTACCTCAGCCAGTTCCGCTCATGCTTGTCCATTCTTTAAGAGGGACAAGATGCCCCGATATTTAAAGCTGCAGCCTCTTCACTAAGGTAGTTGCTACAAGGATTCCTACCCTGCCACAGAACAATACATGCAGATACCTGATGAGCTGGATTTGTTTCAATTATCACTTCTGCTATAGTAGCTGAACTCACCCCTGGGGTTTTGGGGCATTCAAAGGTAGTATTACTTGCATTTTTTTGCTGTTGCCTTTTTTTTTACCATACGGTTGTGGGGCTGAAGGCTGAACTAGGTCAGTTCCTTCATTGGTTTCGTTGTACAGCTGCACAAACAGTTGTCTTGGCAAAGAGGCTGCAGTGCAGAGGGATGGGGCACTGCTTAAGCTGGTACTGTCATCAGAAAGAATGTGTATTAAATTGTGGTTTTAGTTGAAGTTTCCAAGTGGCTGGTGTCCTGAGTGATGACCTTGATAGCTCTTGGCCGAAAGAGTACAGTGAGCTACTGAGCCTTCGCCTGCTACAGCTGTCAATGGGAAAAAAATTGCTCGCTATTACTAATCATAAAGACTACAGCTAGCCAACAACAGAGAGTGTGCAATCCTTAAGACACGCTGGTGTCAGCTGCTTTTCGTGCAGCCGGCTATGTATTTCCCAACAAAGCCAGTTCAGTTGTGTGGGTCCTGCCTACATGTGTAAGGTTTCTTATTTCACAGCTTCCCCCCCGGCCCCCCTGCTGGCTGAGGGGCCAGGCTGTCCCATGATGTGGGATTCTCACACATGCTGTTTGTTATTCTGTCCTTTTTCCTTTCGTCCTACAAAGATTTAGAGAAGAGGGTGGGTGAGGGGGAAACTTTGCAAGTCTTTGAAGCAACTTGACTTTCGATGATTAATTGCAGCAAAGAGCCTACACAAGGGAGGGTGACTTGGTTTTAATTTATTGATGTTTCTTTGTGAGAACAAATTTATAGCAGAGGGGAAGCAGCTTCTGAGGAGAATATCAAATGGTTAAAAGGTTCCAAGCATTCTTTGATGTCACAGCCCTGGAGAAATACTGGAAGGTAGTGAGGGACAGACACTGTTTATTTATAAAATAAAGATCAGTTACCTGCTTTTGGCAAGAGCCTGTGACTGAGCTCCTGTTAACAACCTATTCATTAGGCAGGCTTGGAGCTGGACCTAAAGATTCTGCCACAGCTGCCTGCTGAGGCGATGAGAGCCTGATGTTTGGACGACATTTCCAGCCATTAAGTCTTTCCATGCATCTCTGTGAAGCAGCACCTGTTTCTCACATTAGCTGAGAAAGCAACAGCATCTTGCCGTGCTGTGAAATACAGGCTACTGTGAAAGGAGTAAGGCAGCACGATAGAAACGAGTTACACACATAGCCGACCAAAACAAGCGTGTGGCAGCCTCTTTTCAAAAATAGCATCTGACAGCATAGTTGCCTAGGGCTTTGTCACGCTCGGTAAAGGAGAGGGGAAACAGAAGCAAAATGGCAGAGAAAGAAGAAGTTGAGACTGTTCTTCCTAGAGCTAGACTGAGGATGAGCCAGATGTTCACTGTCAGGTCAGGATCTTCTGCTGGCAGGCCACGTGTGCTTCATGAGGCCTCTAGAAATCTAGAAGCTGTAAGGAGAGAGCAGCAAGCCAGTCAGCGCATCTGCTGGGTCGCTGAATATCTCCCAGAAGGAAAAGGATTAAGCTGCTTCAGCCCACATCCTTATCCTGTTCAAGCGCAGTTCAGCTTCTACAGCTTCTGTAGTTACATACCAGCTGTGGCAGCACTTTCTCCACATGTTCAATATCCACTTTCTCCAGGTCCTCCGCCTGAGCCTGCCGTGCTGCTCGTGCCGCTGCTTCTGCAGTACAAGCGTAAGGAAAGAGTTGTTAGAGGGGTCTTAGAGATGTTTGGTGTGTGGTCCCACCGAGGTGTCGGGGGCTGGTTTTCTGGGAGGAGGACGCAGTCCCACGGAACAAGACGGCCCGGCTCCCTGGAGGAGGCTGTTCACCAGCCAGAGGGGGTGCAGGGAGCGGGGGCATGGCTGTGGCGGAGGCGCAGCTCCTCGCTCCGCGGTGAGGTGCAGCGGCAGAGCGGAGCTGGGGCACGACGGGACGAGCAGAAGGCTGGCTGGGTGCTCGGGGGGGGGAGACGGG